TGGGCCCCTAGTATGGGCCCTTATCCCTGGGATCCTTATACACCTGCTATATACCCTATATGTACCTTGAAGGGTGCCCTAGAAACGCCTAGGGGTCCCTTTGAGGGGCCCATACTTCTAACCTTAGATTCAAGGGATTTAGAAGGCTTCCTTCAAAGGGATTTAAGAGAAAGTGTGCTAGGTTTAGTTCAGGTTGAGGGTTTAGGATTTTAGGAGTTAGTGTTTTCGGGTTCAGTGTTTAGGGCTTTGGGGCGTAGTGTTTAGGATTTCAGGGCGTTAGGGCCTGTAGGGTTTTTGGGGTTCGGGTTTAAGGGGTTTGGGTCTAGGCTTGTCTTTCGATGATCCAGGGGCAACAATCAGGATCTGCGTTGACAAGCACTACCATGACTGGTGTCGCTCTTATCAGCTATAGTAAGAAATCATGTCACTATCAAGCTCTGGACCACTGTCATTATCATGGTCAACACCACTGCCCATATCAATACCGCCGCCATTACGCTGAACTTGAGTTGTTCAACACCTTTGGCTGTATCTTTATATCGTCTCCCACATGCCCATTACAATCGTCATCAGCTTCATTATGAAGCTCTTTTGCGTTGTGCAGCGTTATCAAGACCATGACCTTAAACGCGGACAGTACCCTCACAAATGGTATTTTCCATAGCAGTGTTTGTAATTCTACTGCTCACATATACCGCATGGCTAGCATTACCAACAACATGAGCACTTTCACTAAGGTCTCATTGCTTACTAATACCATATGGGACGTTCCGAAAATTAGGGTACCTTATTTTGGGGTCCTTATAATAAGGATCCTACTATTTAGGGGACTATATTGGGGGGTCCCCTATTTTCGGAAACGCCCATATCAAAGTATAACCACCAGGGACAGCAAGATCCACAGCCCAGGCTTCCACCCCTTCGTTTTGGCCCACCACAGCTTCAGCGCTGCAGGCCTTTGTACTTCTTCTTCTTCTTTTTGGGTTTAGGGTTAGGGTTTAGGGTGCAGGGCTTAGGGTTTAGGGTGCAGGGTGCAGGGTTTAGGGTTTCGGGTTCAGGGTTTAGGGTTTAGGGTTTAGGGCTCAGGCCTTCTACAACCTCTGTTACGTTGGACTGCGAGCGGTGCCTGTGCGAATTCAAGGAAAGACTCGTCTTTCTTTTCAAACTGCTTCACCTCAACGAGCTCGCGTCGCGGTTTTCTGCCAGGATGGAGCAATCGGGCCTTCAACGTGGCCTTCCGCAAAGATTGCATTCTGCTCTTCAACGGGGAATTGGTTTAGGGTGGGCTCCAAATAGTCTGCAAGGGCTTTCGGCTCCCTCTTGGTACCATCGCCCTTGGCATTCCCGCACCTTGATTGGCAACTTGGATACAGGTCCACTGAACATCGCGACGGATTAGGGTTTGGTCCACTGAACATCGTGACAGATTAGGGTTTGGGGTTTAGACAACCTGCATCGTCACAGCGGTCCTTCAAAAACTAATTAACATGGTGAGTAAGCATCGGTCGGGCTCGTTACTGACTCCGACCTGGCCCCCATGTCACCCTAAACCCTAAACCCTAAACCCTAAAGAGCCTCCGAAGCATCACCCGAAGCCCTAAACCCTAAATCCTAAAACCCGAAGCATCATCGTCATGTTCCTTACCTCGGGTCGAAGCTCTGAACTCCTGCACTCTAAGCTCTAAATGGTTTAGGGTTCGGGGTTTGAGGATGCAGGCACTCAAAAAAAAACTTAGGGCTTGGGGTTTAGGATTTAAGGACTTAAGCGACAAACCCAAAACTTTTCTCCTAGCTAGACCCCAGTGCCTTTAAAACGAAACTAAACTCTCGTCCCGGAGACCCCATCTAAACCTACCCCAAACCCAAGATCTGTATACATCCCTGAACCCTACACCCAACTTACTGATAAAACCTCAAACCTGAATGAAACCCGAGTTGCTCGTAAAACCCGAAACCCGAAACGCCTAAACCCCTAAACCCCAAACCCCCCCAAAACCACTAAACCCCCCAAAACCACTAAACCCCAAGCAAACCCTGCATCAGTCCGCTTCTTGCCCCGAGGGGCGGTAGCTTTCCGGCACCGATCCCAGAAGAACCTGGCAACATACGGTTGATGATAAGGGTTTATTTTAGGGTTTTAGGGTTTAGGGTTTAGGGTTTTTAGGGTTTAGGGTTTTTAGGGTTTTTAGGGTTTGGGGTTTAGGGATACAAATCCCGCATTACCTTAAGGATCCTAAACTATGGGAATTAGGGCATATTCCTTATTATGGGTAATGCAGGATTTATACCATCAACCACAGTGCATCCGAGATGAGGGCCTTAATTATCAGAATAGGGTTTGGAGCAGAGATACTTTCTAATTTGAATAGATAGCAACTACGGGCTTGGGGTGCAGTCCCCCAAGACCCTAAAGCCCTAGAAGTAGGGTTTAGCGCCACTGTACCCTCATTGGGCTACTCCCACTTCTTATAGCGCACTACCCTACGCCCGAAGCCTGAAAACTGCTTTCTACGTCGCCTGATTCCGGTAAGGACATCCCGAATAGAGCGGAGAGGCATACTGAGTTGCTCTGCACATGTCAACCAAGCAGACCAGACCATAGAGTTTGGGGGTTTAGGACGTGGGGTGAAAGGCTGTAGTGTCGGGGCGACCCTGAACCTCATAACTCGATGCCCCAAATCCTAAACCCTAAACCCAGTGAACCTGACACGTTCCCAATGATTACATCCTGCAATCCGAAAGATCCGCTGAAGATGTTCCACTCAAAAAAGAAAATGTCCAGCCACCTCTTCCACAAAGGCTTTATGAACCAAAGTCTTCACCACATGCAGAAACTTGCTTTCAAAGCAGCCCACCCCAAAGTCCCTAAACCTTAGTTCCTAAACCCCAACCCCCTAATCCCATCAACCCCTAAGTCCGTAAAAAAAAACCTTTGAACCCCTAAACCTCCAAAACTCACTAGTTTCAACACCTATGTTTAAAACAGAACACCTATGTTCAAAAAAAACAGACCCCTGCTTAGACAGAAAACGAAAGAAACACGCAAAGGCCTCCTGTCGTTCTGGGGCCCGGACGGCCCATCCCAGGGCTACCAAAGCCACACAGCGGCCACAGTGGACTAAGGCCGGGGTCGCCTCCTGGTGGTTTGCTCAACCCCTGCAAGGCCCAGGCTTCCCCTAGATTCGGTTTAGGGTTTAGGGTTTAGGGCTTCGCCTAGATCATAAGGACCTTAAGGGGGGAGAAGGGGCCTTAATGCCTGAAATAAGGATTTGATAAGAAGTTTAGTCGCCTAGCGTCCCCTACCTCCCTACCGCCTTACCCCCGTAAGGGTCCCGATGACTAGAGGAGTGGAGCTCCCTCCGGATTTAGGATGTAGGGGTCGCCCAATGCTCTTTGCTTTGGGTTTAAGGTTTAGGGTTTAGGGTTTACGGGTTTAGGGTTTAGTGTTTCGGGGTTCTTCTGGGCCTTTGCTTGGAGGATCATGGGACTTAGTAAGTAAGGCTAAAAGTACTGCAACTGGGGCTAGAAGGAATTCTAAGCATATCTACCTGTTTGATCACCCTAGTCCTTAGGCCTATGATTCTTCAGGTAGGGCCGGTCTCGTATGGTCTAGGGCTGAAGGATTCCACCCTAAAACCCTAAACCCCCAAACCCTGAACCCCCAACACCGTAAACCCCTAAACCCCTTAAACCCAAACCCCAAAGCCCCAAACGCTAAACCCCTAAACACCTAAACCAAAAACCCTAAACTCCTAAACCCCTGAACCCCAAAACCCTAAAGTCCTAAACCCCGCTCAAGCCCTGGAGGGCTGCCACCAACCTCCACTGCCTCAGAGACCCTCACCGGCCTCAATAAAGGAAAAAGGGCTTAGGGTTTAGGGCTTAGGGTTCGGGGTTCGGGGCTTAGGGTTTAGGGCTTAGGGTTCGGGGTTTGGGGTTTAGGATTTAGGGTTTAGAGGAAAGGGTTTAGGGGGAAAGGGTTTAGGATTTAGGGTTCGGGGTTTGGGGCGTAGGGTTCGGGGTTTAGGGTTTAGGGAAAGGGTTTAGGGTTCGGGGTTTGGGGTTTAGAGTGTTGGGCGTAGGGAAAGGATTTAGGGTTCGGGGTTTAAGGCGTTGCGGCTCGAGCAGCACCCCGACTAGCGTCTGCGCTGCAGCTGTTGGTCCTAGGTCTGCGCTTCCCAACCCCAGCGACATTTTGCTCGCGTCGGATCTCTGCGACGGACGCAGAATCCCTGCTCCCTGTGGGAACTTACTGGCAGCTTCTGCCTTGGTCGCTGCTCTTTGCTGGGCCGACCACTTCATATTTCATACGGAGGCGCGCTCTGTATATTCCTGGATAGGTCTTCGCTGCTGCGGCCGACGACCTTTCACCTTTTTCCATCAGTGCATGGGTCATTCCGGGGTCTACTCCCCGATTATACCTTTGCTTGCAATTGGTTTGTGGCTACTGTATATTGGCCACGACTCGGCGACGGGCCAAGCGCTCTGCCAGCCCAAGTTGGCACCGTCGACAGCGCAGGCAAAGGGCGAAGGCAAGAATCCGAGCCAGACAACGGCGCCCTCGCAAGGCGGACCTTGCACTTCTCCGCCGCCATCACGGAAGTATGCCCCCTCAAGCCAACCGCAGCGCTACTACGAAGGGCAATGGGAAGCAAAAAGGCAAGCCAGAGGCGAGTCAACAATCGACCGTGGATTTTGGTCTACCACCATCTGTTGTGACGGCGCTACAGTCCATATCGAGCCGTGCGACACAAGACTTGTGGACCACCACATCGTTCCAAGCGGACAGTATGACGGCCGAGCAACTGGCCCAAAGACGTTCGAACAACGCCGGAAAATTATCAAAACGTATTACAGGAGACACCAAGGCGAAGGTGGAGCTCGCTACGGCCTTATCGGATTGGCTATCCCAAATAGGCCAGCATTTGCTTGGTCTAGTGGGGCGAATACGCGCAATCAGTTCCAAACTGGACGAGGACCTCTCGACAGCCATCCAAGAGATGCAACAATACTTAGTGGACAGTCACTCTTCAGTCACAGAGGAACAGATCGCAGCGGCTACCCGAGCTATGGGCCCTACTTGGCTGCCCCCACAGGAGCAGGAGGTGATCCGTCTCGCGGCTCTCCTCAAGGCTTTCGGATCTACTCGCACACCACCTCAGACAAGCCTGGGACAGGGCCAGAGCACGGCCAGTGGTTCGGGAGCCTATTCTATGGACCAGGCTTCAGAGATCAGCTTCAGTGGAGATCAGGCGATGAACGAGTCTGGACATTCCATTCCCTCGACAGTTGCCACTACCGGATCACGCTGGGGCAAACGCAGATCAACACATGCTGGGGCCCGAGTACACAAGAGTCCCCGACGAGACCCGGTACTCTCGGCCCCCCCGTGGACAGCGCCAGCAACGGGCTTAACCCCGGAAGGAGTCAGGAGGACACCGATGACAGCAGTTTTGGGGGACGAGCCGGAGCTTTTGCCAGCGAGCCCTTCCACAAATCCGCCTCTGTGACTGGTACGGGATGGTTCCAGTATTGGCTGCAATTGGCGTCTTTTGCTGTGGACAACGGAGCCGAACTGATCGGCGATCTATGCACCGACGAGGCACAGGACGCTATACTGCCCAAACCAGAAGTCGAAGGGGACATAGAGGATGCTGTTCAGGTAGCGGAGCGCACATGGCAAGCTCTTCAGCTGGTTATACGAGAAAGGACCGAGCAGCACATGTTACCCATGTGTTTAGCCCTGAATCGAACTCTTCAGGTTTTGCGTCAAGCCCCGTCAGCGCTCTCCAGAGTACGTCAGGGTGTGGTGTTAGCCGCGCACATCACCGCAGGAGGACTACTAGACCCGTACAGTTATGCCCCTGCCACCATGCAAGAGTGGTTATTCCCCGCCATGTTAATCGAGCAAGGGGGGCCCTTTCGGGGTTACTTAGCTGGGGAAGTATCTGCTGCACCAGAGGTCCGAGGTCTTCTCTCCCACCCTTGCCCTTTTGTCGAAGACGGTGCGACAGATCAGCCGATCAGCGAGGGTCCAGTCCCGGAGGAGCAGGAGGCAGGTACACGGACAGACTAGTTGCCCTGCTTGCCGGGCTAGCTGATCACGCGCAGCATGCCTTGCACAAGGTTGCCTCGGCAAGCTGCTCCCAGGGGCAACCAAAGGTCAGAGGCGCAAGGGTATTTCCACACAGACGGAGCCATATATTTCTCCTGTGGCTCGCATGCTTCCCCGCACATCATGCTATGCAGCTTACCGCCGTTGCTACTCCTAGAGGGACCGTTGTCTTTGATACTACCCCGGTTGCCACGGCTTGTGATGCTCACGAGGTCTCTCCTCTTCGAGCCCTGCAGAGTCCACTTCCGTTAGGGCCTATGTCGACGAGTAACTCGCCCAGCAGGGTTGTCCGAGTCTTTGACCCTCAATGCCCCCTTGCAACATGTAACTTTCAGGCTGACGTTCGTATGCAAGGCTGCTTTCTGTTCAATGCTATTTGCCAAGCTCTAGGTAGCGACAGACCCACCACCAGATGCATCCGAATTTCTCGTGCCCTGCCGGATCTCCCCAACGAACAATACGTTCTGTGCAGCATCCTTCAACACTGGCATGATGTTTGTGTCCCCGTTGACCTGCGGCTGATAGGCGGTGGAGTTTCCGTGCACTACTTTGTAAGTACAGCTACGGGTTATGACATCGTGCAGGCTGCCTCGCGAGTCCAACAAGTGCAGCCTCCAACTGAATTTTTCTGCCATGCAGGAGATGTCGTACTGCACTCAGCTGCCCAGGCATTGCTCGTCCCAGGCTGCCAAACCCTGCGATGTCTCCCCGTTTCAAGCGGAAGTGCACACTCGCCAAGGGACGAGACACCGGTGATAATGCCACCTGGTGCCGTCATTTGCCACTCCAATCCTGCTGAGCATACAGTTTCTCAGACCGTTGCCGTCATCTATGAGGGGGCATATACATTCATCACGTCGAGGCCAACATCCCTGGTGATGCAGGCCGAGGCCGTACAATGCGTGCTATCAGGGACACTTTAGGCCTTCGGGAACCTGTGTTTATGTGCCCTCAAGCGCTCCTGCATTCACTCCCGAGCACACAAATGGTTGCGGTCGAGCTCGAGGAGGTCGATAGGCGGGTGTTGGTTGACTTAAGGAATATAGGAGGGTGCATATCCTTTGCATCGGTGCTTCCGTCGGCTGCATCGACCACCTGCTTATATGAAGCTGATGTTCCACCTCGGGACTGGCACATGCAGCAAGCGCTACCGGTCCTGCTCCGCTCCGGCGCTCTGCTCATACAAGACAGCGCCGACCTACCTCAGCACCTGCCCAGCAGACGAGGGGTTCGCGTCATCACTGTTAGTTGGCGTGGCCAGGACGGTCGCAACCGTCCGCCGGTGACCAGCGACATCCCTGATTCCCTCCCTCCATCGAACAGCACCTCGAGTTGCACACGTCGTCGTCCTGGACTCTGGCCTCTGCTCGCATTTCTGTGCTCTCGACGATATCCGGTGCTTGCGGTCCTCGCTGCCTTTTTCCATGAGTCACCTGTTTCGGCAACGCCGACAGATGGAGCGGCAGGAGACCCCTCGCAGGAGGGTCAAACCTTCACCGGTTTTAGGGGTAGCCCGGACCTATTGCCAGTCACCGTTCATCATCAATACGCTGACATGCTACGGATCCAATCAGCTGACGAGCTGCCACCCAGCCGCCTTGTTATAGGCGAATCCCGCACAGCAGGACATCTAATATGTGTGCAGATTTGGTTCCTCGAGCGAACCTATCAATTCACACTCCCAGTCGACGACCTGCAAACTCAGCTGATACATCAGCTCAGGATGGCTGACTCTTCCAACAGCAGAAGAGCTCCGGTGCTAGTCACACCCCAACTTGCTTGGCCATGCATGCAGTTTGTCGCCCCACATAAAGAGGCAGACTTTGTCACTATCTTGGTTGATCTTGGTAACCGAGTTATGTGTCTTGATGTCACGCGACACCGACTTGCAGCTGATCTCTTCCAGCAACTTAGAGGGCGACTGGAGCAGCACGAGCTCCGAATCAATAGGGGTATGGTAGCGTCAGTTAGGCACGGTGAGCTCATACGCGTATTCGGGGTGCAGGCCAGTGCTCACACGGAGATCGGTGAAATCTCCATCTCGCCCTTCGCCTCAGCGCCGGGAAATTGGCTAGGCGACCAAGATTGTGTTTACATCACAGGGCCATACATAGAGCTGTTAAGAGTCACACCCGCACCGCTAGAGCCGCTACGTCAGCTGCCGCAAGTGCTCTTTCAGCGTCTGGGTCTTGATGGGGTTTTGGTCAGGATACCTAGCCTGCCCGAAGGTTACAACATCCCTTTCCCCGCTTATTGCCTTTCTCCTCATAACGTCCCCAGCCACGTTATCATTGTTGTGGATGTCCACCGCCAGTGGTTGCGCCCTGTGATGCAGGCTGCCCAGCATTGTACCTCTTTTGAAGAGGCGGTCGCTGCACTTTCCGATGCCGCCCTGCCTCACTCGGTATTTTGGCAACAACTCAGGGAATCCTTGCCGGTTTTCTTCCCGATTGATTTAGGGCAAAGAGGGATCACTGCCTCGATGGTTATCTTGGATGTTCATCGAGCTTTTCAGTTCGGCTGGAGTCTCGTACAGGATGAGGAAGCCAGATACTTACATGTTGAGCCATCCACTGCTGTGCGCCACTCTCGCGAAAGCAGCACACAGACGTCCCCTAGCTTCTGGCCCGCCACCGCCATGGCGATTGAAACACTCACCCTTCCCCAAATCCCGAGGGTACAGTCCTGCATCCCCTTCCTGCAGCTATGTCCTGATGGCCCGCCAACCCATTTGGACTGCCCTCAGTTTCAGGTCAGTTGCACCTTGCCTTGCCTACCTGGATACTTTCCTTGGGGTCTTAGAGTCGGCATTCGGGTCTTTGGGGTCTGTACAACTGTCGTTAATTGGCAGCACATTCTCACCATTGCAGAGGCCGATGCGTGGGACCTCTCAGGCATGGAGGTCTTAGGGGAAGACCGCATGTGGACTTGGCCAGCTGATGTATCTGACCTGGCCGGCCAATGTGGCGACTTACTGCAATCTGGTAACGACCCGCTGTTGTGTACCGGCGGGCGTCATGCTGAGCCACACGTCACCACGCAGATACCAGGCACCGCCACCAACGCCTCATATGTCGCCTCGTGCAGCTCTTCCATGCGTCACGGAGGCATTGGGACAGCTGTTTTGTGGTTGACTGCTCTTAGTGTTCGGTTTAGGGGAGCGGCCGGGAGCTATCCATTTCTCATCGCTGCTGCTTTAACCATAGCCGCACCGTCTCTCGCGACACGCAGCCCCCCCTCCAGTGACAATGCCTCCGTTGGCATCCCTGATTTGTCACCGTGCTTTGACGACATCCGCACGTGCACAGTGGCATGGTGCCACGAGCTTTCATGTCAAACCAACGAATTTACGGTGACATCAGAAGCTCTCTGCCAATATGTCAGCCATGTCTCTCCCGACCAACTCGTCCGATGCCATCTTTGGCGACCATACCAAGGCCCTGCTGTCTTCGAATTTGGTCGAGATGTGCAACACTCTGATTTGAAGCCCTGCTTGCCAGGGCTGGACACACCGCTGAGGACTTATTGGTTGTCGCTTATGACACACTTGGCACTACCTTAGAGGTCCTCTCAATCCCACACGGCCCTGCTAGATGGTGGATCGTTCGGGATGGACTAGGACGTGAATTACTCCGACCGGTCACCACACTGACCGAGCCGGGAGCAAGATATGTTCTTACCACTAACTCGCATGGCCAAGCTCAGGCACTCTCTTGCACTCCTGACGTTTCTCGCCGTCACAACCTCCCACAAGGGGTGCGAGCAACAGTCACGCTTCCATTCACGAGAATTGCCGGTCACATGACCTCACAGGGGCTTGCCCTGATGGAAATCGCGATAGGTACCGTTTCTTTCTCCAGGCGTCATAAGACTGTCCCCGCTCTAGTTCTGGCTGGTTTAATAGGGGTGCAGTATCAGGTTCTTGGCATGCAGGCGTCCAACACTCCCCCACAACAAAGCCAGGTGGTATCCCGTTGGAATGAACTTCAGCGCGACCCTGCGGTCACCCGCATTTGGACTTATACATGCGAGAATCCGGTTGAGGTCCCATATGTCGCCGTTCCGGACCCAGCGCTCATGTACCATCAAGTTGGGAGTAATGGGCGGGGCATCCCGGCAGCGGGCGACTTCGTTTGGACCCAGCCCCGAGTGGTGCAGGGCTGCGCGCACATCCTGCATATCCCTCCGAGATCTCACCCACCATATGTATTCTGGTTGCTCCACTTCCGCGCTAGAGGTCATGTAGTTGCGTCCGCCGAGCACGTGTTTGACTGGTCGTACATCGGTGCACTTGCTGCTGAAGCCTTCGGGGAAACTTGGTTCAGCCAGGGCTCTTTCGGTATAGTCCATCAAGGGAGGGTTCTTAGCTACGGGGAGAATATCGGTATTCCGCCCCATGGCACTGTCCTTCATCTAACTCGCACCTCCCTCCAGCCCCGGACAAGCCAGTCCATCTGGGACACACCCACGGATGCCAGCTGTGTTGTCCCTTTCGACTACGACATTTGTAGGGGCCAGCGAGGGGGGGGGCCAGTCTACCCAGTTATGCCCGCAAACCCCGCCGACACACAGCCCTCAGGATCAGCACAGGCGCACAGACCTCAAGAGAGACCAGATGAACCCTCTATAGGCCGACTGCTGAACCGTCAGATCATTGACATCGGTAATGACATGCAGGTCCTGATCACTCGACTAGAAACTGCTGGAGTACTCCCAACCCCAGAAGTAGCCCCGTGGGTGACGCAGTCACCTGAGGAAGCCGAGCCGTCAGCCCAATCTGGCAGTTATGCTTCTCGACATGTCAATCCGTTCCCTAGACTGGTGCAATGCAGTCTTTGGTGGATAGCCTCCGCGTTGCATGCCGGCAAGGTACACTTGGGTTATGCTTCTGCCAGCTGCCTGATCTGGCAACTCCCACCCGTTTACGGGCAGGACCATGATCACGATGATAGCTCCGAAGAGGCAGGACCCTCTGAGCCAAGCAGCCCGGCCGAGCTTGGCGATATTTCCGCGCCCACTCCGCTCACTTCGCTGCTAGACGTTGCAGGGAGCACGCCTGTCGTTCGGCCCAGTTCTGATCCCCTTGCCTCCACGTCAGTTCCGGGTCAGGAGGTCAGCACTCCAGCCCGACCCACCCCAGCGGACTGTGATGTTGCTACTGCCCAGCACCGCTTCACATGCGCTATCCACGGGGTTCAGCTACTTCCGGCAGTGACAGGCCCTTTTGTGCCTGCTGGTGTGCCTGTTGTTATGCATAACCCTTTCACAGGGCGACCTCAATGTCGCCTGTGGACAACTGCACAGCATTCACCACGCGTTCTGCTGAACACGCTAAGCGATTACGCCCAGCGACGCGGATGGCAGCGAGTCTGCGCTGTTCACCCACAGCCCGACAACCTAGCTGTGCACCTCATACCATCGGCTGCCAATGCCGATCTAGCTGCTGTGATTCTGCAGGCGGAGGGAAATCTTCACCCGAGATGTGTGCAGCGCACCCTGCCGCAAGGAGGGACCGGGGCGGTGACCATCAATGGCCGTGCTGGTCGAGTGATCGCACCTTATTCTGCTCGCTCTGTTGACTGGCCGGCCTCTCTTCGAGACGGCGACTGCCTCAATGTAAATTTTGGGCCCTATGGCCCGCCACCGCCTCAGCCAGTCCATGATGCAGCACATCGGCAGAGTCCGATAACTGTCCTAGGGGCGGGTTTGCTTCTGTCCAGCAGATGGGGTTTCCTGTTCGGCGCTCCATTCCTTCTGGCGGCTGCAATGGACAGCAGCCCACCACGAGCGGAAGACACAAAACCTATCTACCGCATCTCAGCTTATCCTTGGCGCTTACCACACCCAGACCGGACCGCAGAAGATGTCTGCGACCGCAAGCAATGCCGCTACACCGTGCTTTGCCCATGGACAGGCCCGCAAGGCGTCTTCTCCGTCACGCCCAATACCCCCATTTCCGAGGTTTGGAGGCATTACGGGTCGATCCTCCCAGGTTGGCCTGATCAGCAATTCACTCCAACGTGGCCTGGGTTGCGACACGACCGAATCACTGTGATTCCCATCCCACCCAGCCCCTCGCTCGCCTGCGTGGTTGTTCGGCAATTATACCATGCTCGAGCTATACTGCTTCACGCGGAGATTACACTCGATCACCTCTGTCGCGTCATTCAATATCATACGCCTTGGCGACCAGTAGAGATCCTTCTGCCCCCGGCCGTTCTTGCTGCACGCAGCCACCATGAGCGCCAGGCATTACGTCTTCGCACCGGGGATGTCCTTGATGTGTTGGAAGCGTCGCAGCATCGGCAAACGATCGGGGTTAATAACCCTGATCTAATCCGCGGATATGCCAACTGGAATCACGGCATTGGCATTCTCTGTACCACCCTAGTTCGACTCTGGGATACAGCTTGGCGTAGACCCATCATCACTTGGCTTAGCCCCGGTGCTGAATGGATACCGTCCCAATTATCTTTCTCGGGTGAATTCCAAAACTCATACCCGGGTCGGTGGGTACCTATAGCCTGGAGCCCTAGCCGCATTCTGCAATTTATGCGCGCGTCGGACTCTGCCACACAAGCCAATGTTCTTGTCGAGCAAGATGACCGCACCTTCGCCACTACCACTGATATTACGAGTTCCGGCACAGCGATTGCGCAAGCGCTTCAGGTGCACAGGGAAGCTGTCACGGTCATTGGGGCTCACATTACTGACCCAGACCACTTGTGCGTCCTCCGCGACGGGGATATCATCCGCGCCACCTCACCCCGTGCACCTGCCGTGCCTATCTACGGCTGGCCGGACGATGAGGCGGGAGACTTGGGCCCCACCCTCGACATCGGTACTGCCTATGCTGTCGGACGGGGACAGCCTGCAGGTATCTTGCTTGCCCTCCTCCTGCAATTCACACCGGCGCGGGCGGTACGTCCCTCCCAACCCGACCGTTCTCGATCCAGCAGCCCCGCCTCGCCGCACTCTTCTAGATGCAGCCCACGTCCCAGCAGATGGAGGCCTGACCTCCATGAAGCTTTTCTCGATGTTGCCTCGCTACGCCTGGATTATTCTATTTTGTGCCCATTTCACGGATGGAGTCAAGGCGCGCGGTGCCTCCGTGACACGGAAGGACCCACCATTCAGCATGTCATGCAGAGATGGTGCAAACACTGGGCTCCCAGATATATTTTATTGGGAGGACTCGAGCCTACTGGCCCCGCAATAGTCATTCCAGGCGGCCTTGCCACGCTGGCTACCATTCTAGTGTTCGTTCCAGGTTCACTCACGGCCCAGCTGGTTCCACGCACCACCACCTATCGGGAATTGACAACTTTTCTTCGGCGTCTTGTCGCAGGCTGCATTCGGTTACGGGTTCCACCCTCCCTGCGCGTGGCTGAGCATTCCCCTGATGCCGCTATTATACTGCGAGACGGTGACTCATTTGAGTTATACATCGCGAGGACGAAAGTTTTGACCTGCTGGACCTTTCTTGTCTTAAGACTGCTTGCGGAGGAAGAGAGTACCGGGAGGCCCGCTAGCGGCTAGCGGTTTATACCGAATTATACCCTGTTTGGAAATGTAGAATGGTTGAACTGTATGTTCCGGAGGAGTAGCCCATGGCTCCCGTTTGTTAAGGCTCTAAGGAGGAATGGGGCCTCTGTTCCATGGAACTTCGCGCAGGTCCTACCGCAGTAGCCCTTCAGCTCTAAACTGCCGAGCAAACGCTAAATCCAAGTCTAAGTTTTTGGAAAAAGGAGCGACCGCGAAACCCCAAAATTTAGGGTTTAGGGTTTAGGCTTTAGGGTTAGGGTTTAGGGTGTAGGGTCAAAAGAAACACCCGGAACCCGCAACCTTTACCAAGGAGAGCCTGAACATGCCTTGCTGCCCCAGGTCCATCATCACCGTTGGCCGAAACAATGCCGGGAGCCTGGCAGTCCGAAGTTCCTAAACCCAAACAGCAGCTCCCTTATCCCGGGGCTTGGGTTTTTCCGGGCTTCTGGGTGTTAGGGTTTAGCTCGTTTTGGGCTTGAAGGGTTTTAGGCCTTCTATGTCTTTAGAGAGTTTTTTGGAGGGATTTGGGGTGTTAGGGATGTGGGGTGTAAGGGTTCTTTTCAGGACTTTACAATTTAGCGGTTCAGAGAAGCTAAGTGGGAGAGCTCCGGCACTAAAGCCCTCCAAAATCCGACAACTCCAGCAACCGCGATAGAACCGTGAAATCAACCCGGCTTTAATCCTTGAGGCCTTTGTTTGTCTAGCCAAAACCCTAAACCCTGAAACCCTAAACCCTCAACCCTAAACCCTCAACCCTAAACCCTCAACCCCAAAACCCTAAACCCTCAACCCCAAACCCTCAACCCCTAAACCCCAAACCCTCAACCCCAAACCCTCAACCCTAAAACCCTAACCCCCCAAACCCTCAACCCTAAACTCTCAACCCCAAAACCCTAACCCCCAAACCCTCAACCCTAAACCCCAGACCCCCTAAACCCCAAACCCCCCAAACACCAAACCCTCAACCCTAGACCGCAAAGCGCAACTCGCAGCCTCTTGCAGGGCCACCCTTTGGCCTTGGGTCTTGGGGGTTTCAGGGTTTACTGGTTTAGGGTTTAGGGGTTTAGGGTTTAGGGGTGTAGGATTTAGGGTTTTCAGGGAAAAGGGCTCTTTAGGTTTTGGGTTTGGGTTTTGGGTTTCGGGGTTTAGGGGTTTAGCTTTTAGGGTTTGGGGTTGAGGGTTTCAGGGTTTCAGGGTTTAGGGTTTCAGGGTTAAGGGGTTTCTTCGGTTAAGGGGTTTCTTCGGGTTTAGGGTTTGGGTTTCGGGTTTTAGGGTTCAGGGGTTTAGGGTTTAGGGTCTGGGTTTAGGGTTTCAGGGGTTTAGGGTTTGGGGTTTCAGGTTTAGGGATGAAATTTATGTGTTGGGGTTGAGGGTGTGGTTACGTCATGACCGCATGTAGCTAGCAGCCCAGCCCCTCTGCTTGCTTCTAGGACTAGAACTGGTGACTTTCTGGATTATTCATGCCCCAAACCCTAAACCCTAAACCCTAAACCCTATAACCCTATAACCCTATAACCCTATAACCCTATAACCCTAAACCCTATAACTCTATAACCCTATAACCCTATAACCCTATAACCCTATAACCCTATAGCCCTAAACCCTATAACCCTATAACCCTAAACCCTAAACCGTATAACCCTATAGCCCTAAACCCTAAACCCTAAACCCTAAAACTCTACCCTAAACCCTGAACCCTAAACCCTAATGGAGGCTGCCTTGCAAGTTTCGACTGTCCGGGAGGGGTTCCGAGGTCAACTCGGGTCTGTAGACTCCACCTACAGTCTCCATTGTAGTTCCTTTTTGGGCTTATCTGTTTAGGGTTTAGGGATTCGGGTTTAGGGTTTTAGAGTTTAGGGGATTGGGTTTAGGGTTTAGGGTTTAGGGGTTAGGCTTTTAGAATCCTTAATATAAGAATTGGTTAAACCAAAAAAAAAGGAACTACGTACAATGGAGACTATAGGAATATTTATACAGTCCATGGATCAATAAGTACGAATGCTTCAAAGTGCGCTGGAATTGTGGGGGTTGGGGCTCGACTCTACTGTAGGGCCTCACGAGGAAGATCGAGGATCGACGTTCGTCGAAGCTTCTGTGCAGCATGTCTTTGATATTTCGACCCGGTTAGACTCCGGATCCCGAAGTACACCCAGACCCTCCATCTAATATAGGGGCCTTAATAATCACAACAGGGTTTTGGGG